CACTATACAATATGTCAGTGATCAGACTGGCTTGGTAAAAATATCTCTTTTAATTAAAAGGAATAAAATCATTTAGTAGAACTCTGCTTCTAAAAATCTGGTTTCTTTGTCTCTTTCTCAGATAAGTAACTCGACTGGTTTATAATTGCCATCTAGCACTTTATCAAATGGGCCATTTGCTTTTGGGCTGAGTTATCATTAAAATGTTTTTTTTTTTCTTCTTTTCTTAGTAGTTCTGTTTTCTGCAGATCTGCCACTACTCTATGAATTAATTCCTTCTGAGCGGAGCCACAGCACCTACACTAACAGGCAAAACTAGAGCTCATCGGATGCTTTTCTTCAAAGCAATGCTAACTTTATGAAACCTTTTCTACTTACAGTTTCCCAAAAGCATATCAGCATGTCCAAGACACAAAATAAAGTGGTTACTAATTGACACTAGCGGTGAGGCAAATTGGGATACGTCAATACAGCAGGGCTAACAAGCTAAAACATTAGCTTGTGGTGCTAGCCTGCCCACTGTTAGAATCATTTCACCTTTAATGCAATGAAAATAAATGGCTCCCAAATCTGACAACCCTCAGAAAGGCAGATTGTGGATGTAGAAGCAACTGCCATGTAAGGGGCTATGGCCCCACCCCAACAGCAATTTTTGAAGGCGTTCTGCTGGGGAAGCTAGTTGTTAACCCTTTAAAAGGATCCAGCATGTACAGCCTCCAGCTAGCACAGGAAGGAATGTCCTGCACCCTCGCTACACGATTACTCAGGGAACACACGATATGAGATGCTGGTTGCCGCATGTGCCAAGAAAAACATAACATGGGCCTGTATGAGCGCGTACATGCCCACACATACACATCCAAATGCAGTACTGCATCAGCAATGTTAAGGTATAAAACTCAGATAGCACACGGGAAATTTCTCCGGTCTGCTCTTAAAGCAGAAGTGTATTATTTCTGCAAGTATGTGGAAAGTTCCTCAATAATCTGTTAGGCTGGTTTTCATGTTTCCAACAGAGAGTGGGGAGGGAGGGACGCATGGTAAGAGAAATGTGTCCCTTTAAAATGTTACAGCGTTTTTCTTGCGCTCAAACCTGGCACAGCCTGAAAGAGAACTAGTGCCTTTGTCTCCTTGAAAGAATGGTGGAGTCTCCATCTCTGCTGTCTTCAAACGAAGACCAACAGTCTTTCTGGATCATATGCTTTAGTCAAACATAAGTTATTGGGCTTATTACAGGGGTAAGCATGTGAAATTCTATGGCCTATGTTACATGCACAACAGGTCAAATTAGATGATTTAATGGCCCCTTCTGGCCTTAAAATCTATTAAGTTTGGAAGCAGCTAACAAAGTTTTGGACATCTGCCCTCCAATGAGACTGCTATGTCTACCCTGCACACTCCTTACGGTATCATATAGAGCATCATAGAATATCAGTGTTGGAAGGGACCTCAGGAGGTCATCTAGTCCAACCCCCTGCTCAAAGCAGGACCGATCCCCGATTAAATCATCCCAGCCAGGGCTTTGTCCAGCCTGACCTTAAAAACTTCTAAGGAAGGAGATTCCACCACCTCCCGAGAGTACATAGACTGCAAGGCCCCCTTGCACAGGTACAAATAGCAGTGTAGACCATGAGACTTTTAGGTGAGTAAAGGCATCCTTGAATCCTTAAGTGCTCTACCACCCAAGTGGTGCCCCCTTCACCCATCTACACTAGCAATGGAGCGTCCTGCTATCACTACCACAGTGAAAGGCTCTGGCAGCTCCCTGTTGCAGAAGCCTTTCCCCACCTCAGGGACCTGCCAGAGTTTCTCCCTGCCAGAGCCTTTCACTGCATCATGTAGCTACACATTGCAGTGTGGGAGCAGCCTGCTTTTCACTGCAGCATGTAGCTATGTGTACACCACATGCTGCTGCCAGTGCAGTGTAGACATAGTCTTGGGTGCTTACGGGCACATCTACACTACAAACTTTTGCCGATGCAAGTTACGTCAGCATAAAGCTGACAATTAGTGTATCGCTTGTGCGAGTGCATACTTGGCTCATTGCATCGGAGCTGTGGTTACTCACCAGGAATGCTTGTGTCAATGCACAGTGCAGAGCACCTTGGGTAGGTGTCCCAGTGTGTAAATTGCCACCGACCAGCACACTGTCTTTTGGGAAGTTTTGGCAATGCATAGTGGGGCAGAAATGAGTTTCATAGGGGGTGATTGGGACTGTGGGATCAAATTCCCATCATGCAACGTTCTCCACCCCATAATGCCATTTCTATCCCATAATTTTCATATCTATTTTGAAAATCTCATGAACCCACAATGGACTTGTCAGTGTCCAGCATCTCTGACAGAAGCATGGAGCCTGCACAGCTCTACAGTGTTGTCATGAGCACTGAAAGCACAGGTCACATGATCTTCCCATGTTTGCAGAACTGCAAGAAGAGATGTGGGGAACATGACCATTTCCAGGAAGTCAGATTGCTGTGGGACATAGCAAGAACCAATTCAAGATTGTTAGTGGCATTTTGTTCAATATCTTCATAAATGATCTGGAGGATGGTGTGGATTGCACTCTCAGCAAATTTGCGGATGATACTAAACTGGGAGGAGTGGTAGATACGCTGGAGGGGAGGGATAGGATACAGAAGGACCTAGACAAATTGGAGGATTGGGCCAAAAGAAATCTGATGAGGTTCAATAAGGATAAGTGCAGAGTCCTGCACTTAGGACAGAAGAACCCAATGCACAGCTACAGACTAGGGACCGAATGGCTAGGCAGCAGTTCTGCGGAAAAGGACATAGGGGTGACAGTGGACAAGAAGCTGGATATGAGTCAGCAGTATGCCCTTGTTGCCAAGAAGGCCAATGGCATTTTGGGATGTATAAGTAGGGGCATAGCGAGCAGATCGAGGGACGTGATCGTTCCCCTCTATTCGACATTGGTGAGGCCTCATCTGGAGTACTGTGTCCAGTTTTGGGCCCAACACTTCAAGAAGGATGTGGATAAATTGGAGAGAGTCCAGCGAAGGGCAACAAAAATGATTAGGGGTCTGGAACACATGACTTATGAGGAGAGGCTGAGGGAGCTGGGATTGTTTAGCCTGCAGAAGAGAAGAATGAGGGGGGATTTGATAACTGCTTTCAACTACCTGAAAGGGGGTTCCAAAGAGGATGGCTCTAGACTGTTCTCAATGGTAGCAGATGACAGAACGAGGAGTAATGGTCTCAAGTTGCAGTGGGGGAGGTTTAGATTGGATATTAGGAAAAACTTTTTCACTAAGAGGGTGGTGAAACACTGGAATGCGTTACCTAGGGAGGTGGTAGAATCTCCTTCCTTAGAGGTTTTTAAGGTCAGGCTTGACATGGCTGGGATGATTTAACTGGGAATTGGTCCTGCTTCAAGCAGGGGGTTGGACTAGATGACCTTCTGGGGTCCCTTCCAACCCTGATATTCTATGATTCTATGATTCATGGAGCAGCTGTATAAATGGTGGGTCATTTTCATGCAAGTGTGCAGGGCCATTAACCGGCTCCTGCTACACAGGACTGCTGCAGAGGAAGGCGAAAAACCCCCAGGGCCTCTGCCAATCTGCCCTGGGGGAAAATTCCTTCCCGACCCCAAATATGGCCATCAGCTAAACCCTGAGCATGTGGGCAAGACTCACCAGCCAGATACCCAGGAAAGAATTCTCTGTAGTAACTCAGATCCCACCCCATCAATAGCCTGGAAGGTGTAGGATAGATACACTGCAGCAAGGAACACTCCAATTCAGAAGCAATGCTGCAGCTCTGTCACTTTGCAACTAAAAGAACACAAGATAGGGCGGGGACATTGGAAAATGTCAATTGGCTGCAAGAGTCACTCCTGCCTGCCAGGCTATTGATTTTCTTGAGCATTGATAATTAACATGCCTCACAGCACTGCAACCTCACTCATGCAGAAGGGAGGGAAAATAGCAGTCTCTGGAAAGGGGAAGCAGAGAGAGTTCTCAGGACACTGCCTGGACTGCCTTTCAGCATGGCTCTGCTCTAGTGGGAGAGAGACCACATTTTGGGGTAAAGCCGCAGCAAGATTAACTAATGTAACTATTAAAGAGGCAGTTATATAGTAGACATTGGCTTCATTCATGCTCATTCTTGGTAATGACCTATGCACCACACACTGTAGGTTAAAGAAAGTAGCCATTTCTTCAAACACATCTGAATGTGAACCCAGTGATCTTATTTGAGTAAGACCTACAGAAACAGAAGTGAAAGATTCAAGCACTGCTTTGGTATTGTATGAAACATTTGTGACATTCACACATTCAGATTATCATCATCAGCAAGTTTAAGCTTTACTCTGCACTTTCAGAGCAAGATCTTCCATTATTGATCTATTTTTGAAATACACCACAACATATGCATTCAATAGAGAGCCACCTATGTATTGTCTGGGAATACACATAAGCAAAAATCTAGCTCCTTCTCTTATGTGGATCTTTCCCATTGTGAAGACAGAGCCTCCTCAAAAGGGCTGCTACACAGCCATAAATCTGGAGTAACTCCAAAAAGTTAATTCAAATTTTCACCTGTGTAACAAAACAGGACCTCGCCCAGAAAAAAACATATATACACAATATATTAAATATGCTATTAGCCTGAGAAAATTGATCTGCTGGAGTTTCATTTTTCAATCCCATAGTGGATTACACCAATACCAATTTCATCAAAAATTCTTTACAAGGCCTGGCATTACTTGCTATATCTTATTATTAAGGTAAACATTCCTCAAAGAACTGTGTGATTTGAATCTCTCTCTGATTCATTGTGACATCCTATTTGCTGGCTGCAGTTAGAGGAGTCAAAATAAAAACAAAAATTCAAAACACACTTTTTTTTCCTTGTCTTTATTGATTTAGGCTTCGGAGATACAGCCCAAAAGAATGCATCTGTAGAAAATCACCACACATGTTATCGATACAGCACTGTCATATTTTCAGAATCTTAAGCCTTCAACAAATCACAGAGAGAACATTCAAACTAATGTTTTTTGGCAAAGCAGACTGAATAGAGAAGACATGAGGAGGGAAATTTTTTTGCTTTGAAGAGAAACATTTCAAACAGGAATGAAGAGCCTCTTTGTTAAAAATGCAGCCTTAGCCACCATGTAAAAATTGTTACAAAAATTAGACAGTTCGTTTAAGATAGCCATGTTTAATCTAATGCACTGTTAGAAACTCCATGTGGAATGTCGAGGGGGTGATGAGGCTGTGTTCTAGTTACAGGTACAATCCAGTTGTCAGCAGCCTGTATGCCATTGAGATAGTAACTGCATATCCAGCTGCCCAAGACAAGCCTCTGCAAGGCTGGGGGAGAGGTGTCAAATACGCGATAGTGTGAAAGATTCTAGCCCCAACGAAGATCCTGAAGTGCAGCAAAGCTGTGGACAGAGCAGGGCCACTCAGGGCATAGAGCAGACCAATGCCAATAAATGGGACAATGTTTTCTAGGTCGTTCAGGTGGCCTCTGGGGAAAGAAAGTTGTTGTACAGTGTTACACTTTGCAGAATAAAGCACTGGTTTAAAAAAGACTTAGAAAGTTTTACTGCATCTTCAAAGCAGGGTTAACAATTAAGGACCACACTAACACACATTTATCTTTATGTACATGCATAGTCTCAGCAAAGTTAATATGAAAAACATATTTTCTACCATTACATGTCCCTCAATTCCCTTCCCTTCCCCCTTGGCTTTTATTTTGTATTTTAAATTTTATACCTGTCTGGAGTGCATTGGAGGTACAATTGAACTGAAAAGCAGTCCAAAATATTAAAGCTGTATTGGATAGTCGGTCTAACGATTTCTTTAGAAAGTACTTTAATAGCCATCTTGCAGAACATTCTTTTTTGAGCACTCTGACCTAATGAGCGTCCTGTTTGTTCCTCTTCTCCAATGCTAGGCCACACCATTTTCAGCTATTGTTATTTTGATGCCATAAATTAAACTATTTGAAATGGGCCCCAACCAAAACCCCAGATCTGAAAATGCTCTTCCACACCTGCCCTTAGAACTCTTCCTCTCATTCCACAACTATGGGAAAATTTAATTCAAACAAGAGCCTTGCTGTTTGGCACGACCACTAATAATTTTAGGGTTCCCTGCCCGCCAGTAACAGATTAGGAACTGTCTGCATTGATTTTTATCCTAAAAGCAGAAACAGACTCAAAATATGCATTAAACATAGAAATGTCATTAGGCCTCTTCTTATACTAATAAATCCAACTAAAGCTAAATCACTCTTACAGTATGCTTCATTCTTCAGTTGTCATGCAGTTTGCAAAAGAAAAAACCCATAATAACTGTCTGCCGAGAGCATATGAAGTTAACCACGGTTGTAAAAAGAATGTGTGTTGCAATGTTAATTGAGTAAGTTGACCTGGCGTGAGTTAACTGTTCTGTGGAAGCACCAACACTGGAATCAATGGCCAGGGCCATAACCAGGGTGGGGCAAACAGGGTGGAAAGCCATGGGGGTAGAAAAATAATGGGGGGTGGGGGAGAACAGTAGGGGGCATAAATATGCTTGCTCACCCCGGGTGCTAAAATGCCTAGTTATGGCTCTGTCTATGGCTTCGGGGGAGGGGGACTTAGGACAGAATTTTAACACTGATTTGTGTGTGTAATTCTAATAGGTTGTTTGTTGTTGTTTTTTTAAAATAACAGTGTATCTACGTGGACAATTTACTATGGTAGTAAAGTTAATATTCTACTTTCACATGGCCCTTTTCATCTTTTTGAAGCTATACACGTACAGGAATGACTTCTCACTGAAATGCAGCCACTTTTGTGACCATCATCCAAGTGCACACCTAGCAAACAACTCTACGTACAACAGAGGGGGAGAGGGGGAACTTTTGGCCAGTGTTCTCAGGGAAAATCCCCAGGCTTATAAATAATTGCCCTGGACTCTTTAGTGGCCACTCAGAACAGACTTCAGGGAACTACAGTAGATTCCACTTATTAAAAATCCCTCCATTGCCAGGAAAAAATTGCTACCATCCAGCAGGTGCTAATAAGCAGTCTGCCAGTTTGCGAGGCTGCAGCTAGAGAAGGTAGTGCTGGGACATGCCTTTCCTGGCTGCAGCCCTACAGTGGTAAGAAGGAAGGCTGCAGCCCAGATGCCACGGCTTTCTACATGGAGCAGGGGCGATGGGGCCACACCGTACTTCTCCCTGTGCTCTCTAGGCATCAGGGCTCAGCAAGTCCCAGCACTTCCTTCCCTGCATACAGTTCCCCAGGAGCTGGGACAGCTGAGCACTGGCCACCAGTTTGCAGGGCTGAAGCGAGGGAAGTCGTCCCAGCACTTCCTTTCTTGGCTGTTGCCTCACAAACCTTCCCTCAGCTGGGGGCTTTCTTCCCAAAAGAGTTGGTAGTAAACCGGTGCCAATATCCAAATCCCATTCACAGCGATGTTAACGGGATGGGATTGGTTCCCAGCAATATGTTGCCATTAACTGGAAATTGCTAATATCAGGATAAGTGGAATCCTCTCTACATAAATCTACCTTTGCAAGGATGCATTTGATTCCTAGCGATGGTTCCAACGAGTCTTGTTGCTTATGTTAAAAGAGTCTTCCCCATCACTGACATTTGGTAGCTTGCTCCCCAGCAGTGGGAATAAAGACATAACTTCATATTAAAGCCATTAGGAGAAGGAGTTGTGGGCCATGTTTATTAGCTATTTTTATATTGATAAAATCCCTTTTGCTTTATTATTATTATTTTTTTACTATACCACATAAGCCACTAGTCTTCATGAAAGCCGAATGAAATTAAAAATTTTCTTTTTTTGGGGGGGACGACAGCAGGGGATTAGCAATGGTTTGTCAAAAAGTATCTGTAAGTAATATTTTTGTGAGAGTATAGAGGAATGTCACCGCAAACTAAATAAAAGCAAAAAAAGTTTCAAAGCAATATTCAGCCCCTAGAGAAAGACTCAGGGCAGAAAGGAAATGCTCTTAAATTCTAATACATTGCTAAGTGACACATTACCTTTTTTTTTTTTAAACAGAGTATAGGACCACAAGACTGATCCATCTTCCTGTATAACTAGTGCAAGGGTAGGTAACCTATGGATTCCATTATGCAAAGAAAGAAGAGGCCTCAACTCCCACTCAGTACAACACCTTGCCGGGCGGGGCCCTGTGATACTATCTTGAATTCCATGATTTTAATAGGTAATACACCTATTCCTCTTCCCCACAATTTCCTTTGCTTTATAGCAAGAGTTGAAAAGGAAAGGTCAGAAATCACAGCTGTTCCTGTGTAAGTTGCACAAGAAGCATATTTATACTTACTATAACCCACTAAAGTTCAGTCCAGTTTTTAAGCGTGGTTTACAATCCCACCCCCCAATTCATACACACATCGGATATTGTTCAGGATCAGGCTTTCATCCACAATCAGGGCCCTTGCCCACCCAGGTAGTTAATTTTATATATTTATTCACATATTATTTAATACATCTGCTGATCCGATTATGTTCTTTTTAGACACTTGTTCCATTAGATTACCACATAAAAAAACCAAAACGAAATATATATGGGACCTAGAGAGAATGGCCTGTAAATAATTCTATAAAATAGCTTTATTCTGCTATCCAAGAATCATTCTGATAGACTTCTGTGGTATTACCTGCGCACACGTTCAACGTCTGGGTCAGTCCGCAGGAACTTCTTAGCATTCTCACCTTTGCCAAACGTTGCTGTATCTTCTGGGTTACTAAAGGCCTGTTCAAACAAACACACACCCCAACCAAATGCATTAGAAAAAAATGCAGCTCCTCTTGCTAAGACATAAAACCTTCCTGCAGCTTGGTGTAAGTGTTCTCTTAAAGAACGTCCCTAACATCCCAGTAATCCTAACTGACGTTACATACATGCACCAAAGCCTTTTAAAATGCCAAACCTGAAAATCAGGCCTAGTCTACATAACAGCTTTTGTACTAGTATAACTACGTGAGGGAGGGGGTAGGGTTTTTTTTCCCCTATGTAGTTATAATGCTACATGCCCTAGTGTGGAAGCAGATATACTGGTAAAAATGGTGCCTTATACCAGTACAGCTTATTCCCATTTGGGAATAGTCATATTGGTATAAAGGAGCTGTATATCTGTGTCCACACGAGTAGAGCTGTACTGCTCTAACTATACCAGTACAGTATAGCTTAAAGTGATACAATTTGTGTGTGTGGATGAGGCCGCAGTTACAGTGAGGGCTGGAGGAGAGCAGAAGCTGACGGAAGCCCAACCTTGCCAAGACAGAAGTGATGTGACTGGTCTGGGAAACCATCTAGAAGAGATGGTAGGTATAATTGCTGCCAGCTTGCTTGCTTTCTTCCCTCGGATTCCCATGTGGCAGCAGTAGCCAGGTGGGCTTCTCCCCTCCCATCGGCCTTTAACTCGTTAGGAGGCTGTTACCTCTCCTCTCAGGTAATTATATAGTCCTTTGTTACTTCCAGACTGAATACTGCAAAACACACAGCTTGGAAAGAGGTGTATTTCCTCCCCACCCTCCCACCCCCAATTATTCTTTGGTTAGCTTGACACAAAAATCACAAAACATCTGCTTTATAAGGTGCGTGCTCAAGAGACAGCGTGTTCTGGGCAACGAGAGAGAATCCACCAGTGAGAAAGGATTTCTATACAGGAGAATGGAATAGTTTCAGGAGCAGAGAGATACAGTAACTCAAATGTGTCTGTAAAAGAGACTGCCTTGTAATTACAGTGGTAGGCATTTTCCATTAGTGACATTAACTGAAGCACCATCAGACTAAGGAAAGTAACTGAATATTATTATTAGAATAATAATTAAAAAATCAGTTTTTAAAGCAGAAAAGGGAAGAGATACTTTTGATACTTTTGTATTTTTATGTGAATCTCAACCGGTTCTGCCACATTACATCCCTGTTTTTTTACCTTTCTTGTCATTCTGAAGTATGCTGTTATAACACTCATTAGCATCATTTTTAAAAGGACAATGGTTGTATAGGTAGCATAAGCCAGGAACACCTCGCTGTCAATTAGCTGGGAAAGTTCAGCCATTTCTGCGTATCTCACTGAAGACCTACAAGAAAAAATTTAGGCCAAGAGTGTAACAAATAGAAGTATGATGATACATTCACTAGAACAGCTTTCCCTAGCAGCGCTGTAGTGATGCCATAATTAAGGCTGAAACTTAATACCTCTACACCAAATCCCTCTATCTTCACTAGGCTGTAACTCTAAAGTCCTCTTGGTGCCCTACAGTTCTCCTTTTCAAGGAATTGTTCATTGAGGCATGAAAATATACAGCCAAAACATTTAACAACCAACCACACAAGTAAAAACAGTTTCATTACAGAACGTAATACACCTTCAGTCATCTGCACTATAAACACAGTCAAGACTTTCCCCTGGACATGAAGTTAGACTGACATCTTCAATGTCTTTTCCCTAACAAGTTCGGAGGGTATGATGAGACAGTCCTAAGTTTATCTTTCCACTTAAGATCATAAAATGGACTTTTATTACTAGCCGGATAATTAAAGTTGCATGCACTTGAGTGTGCTCAGGATATAGATATGGGTTATCAAAAGTCTCCACCAGACCATCATTGGAAGAAAAGACAGGAGAAGAAATGTATCTAATCAGTCTTGTTTTCATCAAGAACACACCGTAGAGACTTAGGTCTACTTGGATCAGAGGCCCCGAAGAACACTCCTATGAGCTGTAAGAAGTTGTGTTGGGGTGGTTCTTGAGTCAGAACAAAACAGATACGCCAACATAGCATTACAGGGCACTGTAGTGGCAGATAGGGACTAAGGCACTCTCTTACAGAAGTTATACAGTATTAAGTTCTAACAACTTCTTGTCAGAGATTCCATGCTATTTTGTGTGTTTAGATTTTAAGAGTATGAGTGGTAAACCAAGTGTCCCAGGCAAAAATCAGAACTATATCAAAGCTATTTCATATTTTCTGGTGGAATATTTGAAACTTTAGCCACTTTTTCTGTTTTGTCCACAAATAGGATGATTGAATTTATTTGTTATTCAAGATTATTCACCAAACAATTTCTGGAAATAAATCAAAATACGTTGGATAGCTATGGCTGGTTACATGGTACTGTCTATTGCCTGACTGGGTGAGTGTAACTTTTATTGCATGATCTTTCTGGAACAAGTTCTTATGTTCGTAAGTTCAAAATATGCTTCCCAAAAACACTCATTTACAACTTGTTTTTCCCATAAATATCCACAGGATCATAAGAATGGCCGTACAGGGTCAGACCAATGGACTATATAACCCAGTGAGGGGTGCCAGATGCTTAAAAGAACAGGGCAATTATCGAGTGACCCATCCCCCTGTTGTCCACTCCCAGGTTTTGGCAGTCAGATGTTTAGGGATACTCAGAGCACAGGGTTGCATCCCTGACCATCTCGGCCAATAGCCATTGATGGACCTTTCTTTTTTTGCGCCCAGTTACACTTTTGGCCTTCACAACATCCCTGGCAATGAATTCCACAGGCTGACTATGCACTGTGTGAAGCAGTACTTTCTTATGTTGGTTTGAATCTGCTGTCTACAAACTTCATTGGGTTCTTGTGTTCTGTGAAGGGGTAAACAACACTTTCCTATTCACTTTCTCCACACCATTCATGACTGTATAGACCTCTATCATAGCCCACCTCTTTTCTAAGATGAACAGTCCGAATCTTTTTAATCTCTTCCTCTTATGTTTCATACCGTAATCATTCTTGTTGGCCTTCTCTGTACCTTTTCCAACTCTAATATATCTTTTTTGAGACGGGGCAACCAGACTGCATGCAGTATTCAAGGTGTGGGTGTATCATAGCTATATATACACAATGCAATATCATCATATTATCCGTTTTATTATTTATCCCTTTCCGAACTGTTCTTAACATTCTGTTTACAGCATTGTTGTAGCTATGTAAGTATCTTATTGGACCAATTACTATTGGTGAAAGAGACAAGCTTTGCAGCTACAGAGAGCTCTTTTTCAGGTCTGGGCATTCTGTAGCTTTGCTGACTGGTGCTGCACATTGAGCAGATATTTTAAGTAAACTTGCTTGCTAGTACAGTCATTACATTACAAAAAGCAAAAGTAAAAAAAAGAGTGTGAACACCAGAAGACAAGACCTAAAGGAAGACAAAGAGGGGACATAACAGTCTTCAAATATGTGAAAGGTCATTACAAAGAGGACAGTGATCAATCATTCTCCATGTCCACTGAAGGCAGGACAAGAAGTAATTAGCATAGTTTGCAGCAAGGAAATGTAGGTTAAATACCAGGAAAAACTATAAGGTTAGTGAAGTACTAGAACAGGTTAGCTGAGGGAGGTTGTGAAATCCCCATAACTGGAGATTTTAAAGAACAGGTTAGACAGACACTTGTCCGGGATGGTCTAAGTATATTTAATCCTGCCTCAGATGGGTGGGATGGACTAGATACCTCTTGAGATTCCTTCCAGCCCTGCATTTTTGTGATTCTATTTATTTAAAAATAAAAAAAAAGCAGAACTAAACCACTCCCTCCACCCCAAAAAAGAGAACTTCAGTCTTTGGTATAAGAAGCAGGGTGCTAATCCATTCCTCCCCACTCTGCTTTGTTGGTGACCTTTAAGTGTGAGCAGGGAAGGCATGGGTAACTGCCAATACACTCTTAAAATACTTATACATACAAATTAACATTTATACTAAAAACAAAAAGAAAAGGAGTACTTGTGGCACCTTAGAGACTAACAAAGTATTTGTGCTTTTAGTGAGTCATTGTCTTGTGTGTTTGTCTGTCTGTCTCTCACTCACACACACTCACTCTCCCTTCCCCTCCCCACATATAAACTGCTTGTACCCTGTAAAGAACAGAAGCATTCGATTTGGTATTTTTTGTTTTTCTAAATTGTTTAGGAATCGGAACCGGATACAGGGCACATGATGGTAGCCAGAAATAGGTCTCTTCTGGGTTGAAGAATTATTTTATTTTTACTTAAAAGTATCAGCAACATACTATATGTATTAGTATGATCTTTATATAATAGACATGAGTATCTTATTTTTTGCAATAAAGCTATTCACATATTTGAGTGGATTATCAGTATTTGAAGGTAACTGCTTCATTTCCATCTACTCAGGGACACACTGACCCTGCTTTGTAATCAAAACAAAACTTGCCTAAGTATTTTATCCCTTTAGAAAGAATTAAGAACAGGTTTTACCACCGTTTGCAGGAAAAGAATACACTACAAAAAAAAAAAAAAAAAAAAGTTGGTTAATGTGAAAAGAATAGATTCATAGATACCAAGGTCAGAAGGGACCATTATGATCATCTAGTCTGACCTCCTGCACAACGCAGGCCACAGAATTTCACCCACCACTCCTGCGAAAAACCTCTCACCTATGTCTGAGCTATTGAAGTCCTCAAATCGTGATTTAAAGACTTCAAGGAGCAGAGAATCCTCCAGCAAGTGACCCGTGCCCCATGCTACAGAAGAAGGCGAAAAACCTCCAGGGCCTCTTCCAATCCGCCCTGGAGGAAAATTCCTTCCCAACCCCAAATATGGCGATCAGCTAAACCCTGAGCATATGGGCAAGATTCATAGGCAACTGTTAATTCTTTTCCCAAGGCTTTTTAAAGGAGTTCCAAGGAGATTGCTCTCAACTGCATAATGCTCTGGCGAGGATGGAACATTATGTCAGAACTATAAATTACATAAAATAATCAAGATTAACTAAAACATTTGTATTGCGCTACTGCCTAGGCTCCTTGGATGAGGTGGAGGCCCCATTGTGCTAAACACTGTACAAGTATTCTGCAAAAGACCGTCCCTCCCCCAAAGAATAATCTGAAGAGTTATTTTGCTTAAGGTTTTCTGTTCATAAATCACAAGAGAAAAGTCAGGTGGCTTATAATATCAGGAGGATCCTTGATGGACCTATAGCCCCTAACCAAAAACAAAAACAAAAAAAAACCCCACCACCAACAAAAATCTACATTAAGGCCACTATTATTTGGGTTGCAAAATCATGCACTTGAAAGTTAGTAAAGGTTAAATTTGTGGTTGCCCATGCAGCCATAATTCTGACCCCTCATGCAAACAACCTATGCATTGAAGGAGGCAGGGGTCCTGTAGGAAAAATAGTATGTGATAATGTAATTAAAGACTTTATCAGAATACACACACACCAGGGGGTCAAAGTAAGATTGCAGGGGCAACTGTAAATCTGGCATTTCCTAACTTTCAATTATTATTTTTTAGCACAGCTCTTTTGTAGGTGATTTCGCAGCGTCGGTCTTTATTTTTTACAAAAGAGAGAAAAAGTTCTATTATACATAACCATCTTGGCCTGAACCTTCAGCATTGCAGCATAGACTGCTTCTACTTGAACTACAGAACTGCATTAGCTAGAAGCAGAAGTCTATTATCATCCCCAGTTTTGTGGGACATGAGCAGCTGTGTCCACAGTTGGTGGATGGGGGGACCCAGATCAGGCAGTGTCTGTCCATTGTCCCACACATTCATTAGGTGGTGGTAGGGCCTCTACTCCATACGGTGCTCCCAGAGTGGGGCCCAGATCACTGGGGCCAAATGCTAGGTCTGGAGGTGAAGGAGCCGAACCCACTCCAGCACCCTTTCCCCAACACACCACTATAACAGCTCTCAGATGTGCCCAGTACAATGTGGCATGCTCGCAACAGTCTCTCAAGAAAACGTTAGTGAGAGAAAGGAAATAGTGATTCTTTAACCATTTGTCTCTCAGCAAAGATTAACAGAATTTCATGGGACTGTAAAAAAGAGAAAAATGAAAAAGGGCACTTCTGCAGCCTGCTGAATACCCAAGGCCTGTTGCAAACAACAGAGGTATGACAGTTTCTCAAAGAAAGGGTCATAATAGTCCTAAATATAGGAGTCACAACCAGTGCTCACTATAACACTGTATTCACCTATTTTCCCTATTTGTGAAAACTGATCTCAGAAGCTCCAAGTGTCTATTAAGTGTCTATTCATGGGGCTGTTGGGAAGGATGGAAGGAAAGGTGAATTCTTATGCATCAAAATCCTAGTGAAGACAAGGCAGTTTGCAATTTTCACATGTGTTATTAGATCCAGGAAAACACTATGGAGGAGCTTAGGGTTTACCTTGACCTGCTAACTTATGGTAAAACTCCAACTGTCTTGTCTTTACTAGGATTTTAACACCTTTTTTCCTTACTGTGGACATAACCTTAGGGTACGTCTACACTGTGATAGAAGACTCACAGCACGGCCGTCGCCAGCTCATGTCAGCTGACTCAGGCTCACAGGGCTTGGGCTGCAGGGTAGACGTTCAGGCTTGGACTGGAGCCTGGGTTCTCAGACCTTCCCCCTTTATGGGATCTCAGAGCCCAGGCTCCAGCCCGAACATCTACCCTGAAGTTTTATAATCCCGCAGCCCGAGCCCAAGTGAGCCAACATGGGCCGCGGCAGGTGTTTTAATCGCAGTGTAGACATACCCTAAGAATTGACTGGATTCCACAAAGCTCTTACATTCCATGTGCCGGTTACTAAGAGTGGGCAAATGAGAAGATCTCAGAGATCTTGTCCACGCTGGGAGCAGAACCATGCTAACTCATGCCAGTCTGTCAACTGAAGAGGGGCAGCATGCTGAGATCCAGGGCTCTCAGCTCCCCACCGGGAACCCAGCTGCCCTCCCCCCCCCCCCACAGGCTCTTGCCTCCCTGTTCACTGTGGGGAGCAAGGGGCAGCCAGCTCTAGCTGCCTGGCTTTCTTGTCAATTTCAGGGCTTTAGCATGAAGCTGTGACTACACAGACACAGCACTGCAATAATTAAACTGACATAAGCCCTACGCCTCTCGTGGAGGTGGAGTTACTGTGTCGGTGTAACAGGGCACTTACATCGGTGGGAGCAACGCTGTAGTGTGTATACTAACACAGTTAAATCCATGTAAGCTGTGTCACATAGATCAGGCCCAAACTGTACTAGTTTAACTATGTGTGTGCTTTTACAGATCATTTAGTTAAATTAGGGCAAAACCACAGTGTGGACACATTTAAACTGGTTTAAAATTGGCTTATATCAATTGATCTTGACTGAATAAAGAATCAGTTAAAACTAGATTGAGATAAACACATTTAAATTGATTTAAGAGTCTCTGCATGCGGGTTTTATACCTAAATCAATTTTAAAAACATTTTAACATGTAATATCAACATGGCCTCAGCAGCTCAAGAGCAGTGGTTCCCCACCATTTTCCCCTCTTGCACAGATGGATAAAGATCTTGTGGGCCCCCTCAACCCTGCAGTTCCTCATACCACCTATTTTGATTCTCAATCCTTTCTAATTCTCTGAACCCGCAAAAAGGACTTTGCATACCTCACTACAATCACCATCTGAAGTGAGCTGTAGCTCATGAAAACTTATGCTCTGATAAATTTGTTAGTCTCTAAGGTGCCACAAGTCCTCCTTTTCATCTGTCTAAAGAATGCCACAACTCTAGCACAATACTCCTATTCTGACATAGAAAGAAAAGGAGTACTTGTGGCACCTTAGAGACTAACCAATTTATTTGAGCATGAGCTTTCGTGAGCTACAGCTCACTTCATCCGATGAAGTGAGCTGTAGCTCACGAAAGCTCATGCTCAAATAAATTGGTTAGTCTCTAAGGTGCCACAAGTACTCCTTTTCTTTTTGCGAATACAGACTAACACGGCTGTTCCTCTGAAACCTATTCTGACATGTGCCTCTTATCTCCAAACGCCCGGTGCACTTGCCCAGGGCCGTGACTCTGCAATTTCATACTAATGCTCTTTATCAGTCTTTTCCTTGCAACACCCCTGTACACAATGGGCATAAGGACAGGTCAGTTTACTCACATTCATGCTGCCTTGGTTGAACTTTTTTTTTTTTTAAATATACACAATTCATTCATTTATCGCAAAAAGTATCGAGAAGAATTACTGCCTTACCCTGCATCTTGACACCATTCCAAGCACTGAGTTCTTCCTCAGGTCCAAAGTTCCACATGTAATTACACTAACTTTCAAAGTTCGTTTAATTCATGTGGGGACGGGGCAATGAACCCTCAGGGGAGGGTTTTTTGTTTTTTGTTTTTTTTAAAAAAGTCATTTAAATCATTTGGGGCCCTGTTGATTCCAGAGCTGAATATTTGTAAGTAGCTTGCAGACTCCTTAAAAACATTTCGGGTTTACCCACACAACCCTAGGGGTCTGGTTTGTTTTGAAATATACAAACATGAGTCCCAGTCCGGCAAATGCCTAGGGAAGGGAGCAATGTTGCCCATGCAAAACAGCCTTATTAAAACGAACGGAGAAACGGGTGGGGAGAGTTCAGTCACAGGAGGAGTCGTGTGTCGTCCCCCCCCAATCCATCCCCCTTCATTTGCTTGCGAGTGCGTGCACAGGGCAATAAAGCGTTTACTGGCAGTCACCAGAATACCACGATCATCCCCGAGGAAAACAGCAGCCTAGTTTGCAGAGCACTGAGCCAACAGCACAAGGCACTGATCGCTGCTCCCCGGCCCCTTCTCTTACAAGCCTCAGCCAAAAAGGCAGAGCCCCGGCCCCAGCCCCCGGCCCGGCCCCGGCCGCACCCGCTCGGGATCCCCGCGCGGAGCCCGGCCCGACTCCCCGCGCCCGAACACGCCTCTCGCTCGGAGGAAGCTGAACTTCTGCGCCTGGGGCCCAGCTCTGATGCCCAGGCTGAAGTTCGGAGCCATGCGGGGAAGGCCGCTGAGCCCCCGCCCCCCAGCGCACCAAGTGGCAACGGGCAGACCCCCCCGCCCGCGCAGCGTCTGCCCGGGGCTCCCCCGGCGCGCCCCGGCCCAGGGGGCGCACTGAACGCACCTGGCTTCCGATCGGCTGGGCAGGCGAAAGGTTCACACGCACCGACCCCCACTGGCTCGGCGCTCCCAGCTGCCGGCCCGCCCACTGGAGCAGCTCGCCCTCCTTCTTGGCACGCCCCTAGCTGAACTCCCCTCCCCGTCGGCCTGGCCCTCCCAGCCTGGCTTGTTCCCTTCACTCCAACCCACTTTTCCTCACCCCCTGGTTACTTTCCTCGGCCCGCTCCCTTCTTTTCTGCCTTGATTCCTCCCTCCTGCCTTTCCCCCCCCGCAATCTGATCTGCTCTTTGCCTACTCTCCTGCTATCACCGTCTCTCCTTCCCTTCCACCCACCTTCATTCTCCTGCTGCCCTCTACCCCACTCCCTCACTTTGGAGCATGAGGATCACCCTTTATCTCTTAGGATCATGCTTCTCTGGGTGTGCTGGAAGAAGGCAGGGTTTGGATCTTTTGTAACAGCTCCAGTGTTTCAAGGTTAGGAAGGAACCTTCAGGGCACTTGGCCAACAGCATGCGCCATTCCGCTCTGGGAGTTTAAGGTTTTGAATTGTCCTTGCATTTTAACAGGTCTTGGGAACGTTTCCATTATGACTGGGTTACAAGTCCATACCATATGGTGAACCCCTTACTCACACTGGTGAGTAGGTGCCTGCACAAGCAGTCTCACTGACTTTAGTGTGACTACACCTGCTAGTGATGTCTTTGCAGTATGAATAACAAGTTCACAGTTTTTTCCTGAGAGCTATGCCTGAATCATACCCTCTGAACACCAGTCTAAACACCCTGGGATTTTGGGAGAGGGTTGAAATCCAGTATGAAATCCAAAAGGTGCCATTTGGGCCCAACTTCATTGTATATTTGTAATGGATAATGTTTTCAAAAGACCCTGAGTGACTGAGGAGCCTAATTTCCATTTTCAAAAGTGACTTGGGCTCCTAAGTGACTTAGGTACTTTTGAAAATTTAGCCCAGCAGCAAAAAAGTTTCCTTTACAAAACAGTGAGCCAAGTTGCTCCCAGTTAGGTTTTACAGGAAGCAAAAGGTTTGTACTAAAAGACAGAAGAGAGATTCAGCATATGCCATGGATTTATCAGCCAGTGCACTCGGACTTGGAGGAGAGAGAGAGAAACTGGACTTTGAAACTTCATTTCTGTTTCTCCCTCAGCGTCAGTGACAATGATCCTGTGACTGTGTCATTCTGATCATTGTTATGCCAAAAAGTGTTTAGACTAACCAAGTCAGAACAAGGAAACAAAACTGCAGTCTATCCAACTGTCAAGAACTGAAAAAGGAAGAACTAACTCTGGGAGAAAAAGATTTCAGAAGCAGGCTCACCAGGATGTGGCAGATCAGAAATAGATACAAAATGGACACGTTGCATAAAATGCTAGCACTGCTGTCAAACTTGTTCTAGGCACATAGAGGCTAATTTTAAAGGGATTTAGATGTTGCTGGGCCGAGAAGAGCAATGCTTACCTCCTAGGAAGCTTGCCACTTAGTGGAATTTTCGGCCCCGAGTTAGGCATCTCCATGCCACCAAGGCTCCCTGTAAAGTTCATGGGGGTAGTTAAGTGCCTAGCAAAGGGATCCTCAGAAGCCAGCCAGCTGAGCCAGGAGCTGTGCAAGCGAGCAAGGTCTGAATACCATGGAAAGGGGTGAGGAGAGGAAAGGGGCTTAGGCCTGGTGCACCTGTCTAATGGATCAGAGATAGGCACTTCCCCCTTCTCCACCTCCTGCTCAAACTTGACACACTCACCCTATATTTCCCCAAACCCTGGTTGTCTTTTGTGGGCATGCTGTGTTGCCCCCACACCTATCAGTGGCCTGCATCTGTCCCTAGTGCTGCAAGGTCTGACAGATAACAGAGCATGCCTAAAGGACTAAGTCCTGGCAAGATAAGCCACCCTGTCTAGTTTAAGAATTCTGCTTCTGGGCCTCTGGGCTTTGGCTTGAGCTAGGATTCTGAGCAGTTCATTAGATGTAGGGTAGCAGCAGCTCTTAGGCTGCTTTGAAAATGCAGACAGAGGGAAATCTAGGGAGAGTAGGTAGCACTTTGAAAATGTTAGTGGTGCCTACATGGTGGATTTTGGCACCTATCTACCTGTTGAGGTGCCTAAGGAACTTTAAAAGCTGGTCTATGTTCTCAGTGATTCACTGACCATGCAACACATGTATATCTCATTACACCAATAAAATACCTGCCCTTGCAGCCCTAATCTGACTACTCAATCATGGGACTATTCACTTGAGAAAAGACTGCTGAGTCAGGACTCCTGTTATTAAAGTTGATACCCAAGGGTGAGTTCTGCAATCTTCGTTCACATTAAGTAGCACCTACTCTGGCAATGAAGTCAATTGAAGTCAATGAAAATACTCAAGCCAGTAAGTGTCACTCAGCAATAAGTAAGGGTTGCAGAACTGGGCCCACAGATCTGAGAGTTACCCCCCGCCCCCAAAGAATGGAGAAAAAAAATACATAGAATTATTTTCGCACTCTTAGAATTAAATTTGAACTCAACATTTTCTATGCTGGCAGAAGTCTGGAGTGTAGACATAGCCAATGTTTCCTACATTTTAAAAAAATAAACAAATAGTTTACAAAATAATATGACTCATGAAAACTGTATGGTTCAGTATATCAGATTTTAAGTCAAAATATTTACTCACTGTAATTCCAACCAAATAGAAAACTGTTGCAAAAATATTTGATAATGGACCAAATTCATCCCTGGCACAACTCCATTTACTTGAATTTTCCCTCTAGTTAAAAAATACTTTCATCACATAAGATGTTGAAAACTATGTAATTTCACTGTGGTTCACACACCCCTATTTCAGAGGTCTGCAATCTGCCATCCAGGTACTCTGTGGAGTTGTTTCTGAAACATTACTGATGCATCTGTCTTAAATTAGTGATGCTTCTTATTAGTCATAGCCTGGTTAGGTCTGTTTTTGAGGAGTGAGAGGCTTTTTGGATCAATTTATAGCTCAAAAACAGCCAAGTGACTCTACTCCACATGTAGATGCTTGATGTATTTGTTCAGAGTTTCTTTTCTTGTAAGTTCAATCATGATAAAATTTGAGGACAACATCAAAACTGAAGAAATCACTAGTACACTGGAGGACAGAACCAAACTGCAAAGAGCCCAGTAGAGATGAGAACAGTGAGGACTGCACACAATGAAGGCGAAGTTTGGTACAAATAAATGTAAAGCCAGTCAGAAAGAGGAAACACCAATATAAAATGAGAGAATAAACACCAAGAAGCTGAACAAAAAACATTAAAGCACGTTCAAATTCATCTTACCTCCTTCAGTCTGTCCTATTCATTTTCCATGTTGCCACACAGCAGTGAGTGAATACTGCAAAACAGTATTACTTAGATTGTAAGCCCTTTGTGGCAAGGACCAGCTGTTTGTTCTGTTTGTACAGCACCTAGCACAATGGAGACCTGGTCCATGCCTAGAGCTTCTAGTCACTACAGTAATACAAAAACAAATAACAATAATATTCACAAATGTTTCTTCTGATCCCTAATAGGCATTCAGTTTGACCACGTTTGTGCCCTTATTTGCTTTTCAGCAAACGTTCATTCATGGAGCTGTTTAGAGAAACTCTCACCTTGTGATATTTACAGATGAATATGGGTTTTTTCTATTTGCACTTCTCAGCTGATTTATAAAGTTTCACTCATCCGATCATGGAGCAGAAACAATACTCTGTGATTTAGGTGAACAATCACACACTGCAAATAATGAACATCAAATTGTAGAAGACAGAATGACAGCAAATAGTTTGCAAAAAACCCACAAAAGCTCAAATACGTTCACGAACTGTTTATCTGTTCAGTTATAAGTAATGAATACATTAATAAAAACCAAAGCCGGTTTACTAATCAAAAACTGAAAAAGGGCTAAACTGAGAATGAAATATTCACTACAAATAGTTCGCTCACTTCTAGCAGGCTCTATAGTTGCTGTAAGGACTGTCTGGAATTGGGGCCAAGAGCCTGGACAGGCACGTATCCAGAAGAACATGGCTATTGTAAAAAGCAGTCCACCATTTGAAAACATCTGTGAACCATTTCCCTATAGTACTTGACCCTTGTAGTCTTGATTGAGCAACAATTCAGAAGGCAGCTTCAGCTTGGTTAGTGGAGAACATTTCCAGACACAGGATCCAAAGGATCTTCTTTCTCCTTGCCACAGCACTCACATTCCTACTTTTCAATTGCTATTCTCTCCAGGAATGCCCAATTTCATTGCAAAATGTGGGGGGCATCGGCAGTGCTGTGTGTGATAGTGGAGGGCGGGAGGATGAACCTTCTCTGTATGTATGCACGTTTGGGATGCTGTTTGCCTTGTTTAGTGGCTCACAGAGCGTACATTCTGCAGTCATTGTCTCAATTTGGAAAAAATGCATATGGTCTAACGTTATCTTTTTAGCTGACAGCATCATTCACGGAAAGCTATATTACAGGCCCCAAAGGACCCAAATTACATTGGGGGTATCAACCACAGCCTGTCTGCAACATTCTTCCAACTGAGCAGTCACGTTTATTTGGAGTGTGAGAGTTCTGGGAACATATTTCAGAACATTGAAGGCCATTGGAAAGTAAATTTAGGGCCAAAATTTGTTAATAAAACAGGTTTTACACACA